ATTTCTATGCACACACCCAGCAGATATTCCCATTTCCAGCTGTTGAAGCTGATGTTTTCAGACTTTGGGAGCAGAGGTTAATTCTGGGATTATTTTTCTCCACTTCTGGCTTTTATTGTGAAATTCTGACTAGTTTGATCTCTTCTGTGCAAAAATTGATTTTAAATGAAACAATCTGAGTGAGAAGAATCTGACGACGGCTCAGAGGTCAAAAATGTTTCTGTTCTAAAATCCACTTCCTGTGAGTTTCAGTTTCAGTCATACTTTTGTCAAATCTTATAAAAAAAGATTATACATATCTATATATGTGTGTGTGTGTGTGTATATATATATATATATATGTGTTTCCTTTCATCAGGCCACCCTGCTGTCACAGTGATACTAAAGAAGCTGTTTCACAGGACCGCCACAATACCTACATATGATGATCTTATAGAATATGACCACAGACAGACAGACAGTTTATTTTCCTTCACAGAAAATTTGTCACTGCAGTCTGTACATAACTTTCAGACATACATACATAGATACAAAACACATAGATACAACGACATAACAACAAGAATAAACATTTAATACAGCACATTTAGCACATTTACCCCCCCCGTCCTGTGTAGCACCCCCCCGTTGCTGTTACCGGGTGTCTTGTTTAGAGATGCTGTGGCAGAAGGTATAAAACTCTGCCATAGCGAGCACATTTACAGGCCGGAGTCCTGTATCTGCGTCAGTAATTCAAATGAGCTCAACCGTCAACATCTACAGCAGTTTATGCAACACACACATTAATCAATACAGTAATCAGGAGAACGGTAACGAGCTAGGTTTGATAGCCAGCTGCAACACTGCAGACGGTAAACTACAAATCACCATCATGTCTGTTTTACCTCATCTTATCCACCAGAGCTACTGTTGTCCACTGTTGGCACCGTCACAACCATTGACCCTCATCCCCACATAGAAACACATAGAAACACGTGACACATCGTTTACTGTAACACTGAAAGGAAACTCGCGCTCACTCTGACCTCAGTTTGAACCAGCTCCTTAAAGTTCACATGTTTTGATTGAGATAATTATTGGGCGTTGGTGAACGTCGTCACTGTCATGGTTGAGGAAACGTCACTGCTCCGAGAGATAAATGTCTGTGGACTCCTGAAGTGAACGGCACTGAATGTTATCAGCCGATGTTTTAGTTTCCAATAAAACGGGACTTCCTGCACAGTTTTTACTTCCTTTAAGAAGAGTCATCTACAGCGGCGACTAAACTGCCTGTTGCATAAGTTGTGGAAATAAAAACTCCGACTGTCCCACCCTGCTATAAATTGCTCCCGCCTTTGTTTCCCTCGCTGTAGAAATAAATCATATTTAAGGACAGAAAGAAGCACAGGAGATGATGCTGTTATGCTGCTTGTTGTTTTTTGAGATTGTGTGGGATTAGTTCAGAAGGTGGGACAGTGACGGGTGGAGTCTGTTTTCATTATTGGCGTTTAGATCTTTCCAGTTTTATCTTTCTTTTGTATTTGTAATCACCAGCAGCTCCACTGGCTGCAATAGAAACCGATACCATACAGTCTTATGGAGAAATGAGCCGACTTCTCAGTTGATTTATGAGCTCAGTAAACAGTTTCCTGATGAGTTTCTGGTCTCAGTCTCTAGTTTCAGTCTTCTTCCATACAGCATGATGTTCATTTAGTAACTGATGGTCCCATTTAGAGTCAAACAGACCATAAAGCAGGTATGCTTAGGGCGGGCTCTTGTGTTGACAGCTCATTCTCTGAGTCCGTCCAGCTCAACACACCAAACTCAGATCACACTGTCAAACTAGGCAGTGCTGATCAGATATGGATACAGATTCTGTTTGTCACGCTGCCACTGAATCCTGCACACTGTTCCTTTAACGACCGATCCACCGTCAGGTCAGCGAGGTTGAGGAGGTTAAATCAAGGCAATAGTGGACATGTAGGTGTATTGATTTGCTCTGAATTCCCTCGTGTTGTGACAGTTTGTCATTTTGTGCTCTAAAAGGGACGTCGAGCCTCTTTAGTACAACACACATCGCGCTCATATAGCGAAACACTAGCACTGCTCGTTACCATCAGAGCAACTCGGGCTGTTAAACTAATGAGAATAAGAATTAAATCCTTCTGACTAATCTCCCGACCGCGATGATGAGCAACTCTCCCAAAAGCTAGATTGAAGAAGATGAATCAGTAACATGGCAGTAATAGTTTCCCCTAAAGCGGCGCTGTGGGCTACAACTAACATTGTGGCTCTCTTTTAAGTGTTTGCATGAAAACTTCACATCTAATTTAGCCTCAGAGCAGCACAAAGGAGCCTTAAATCACAATGCATATAATGGCGCTCCGGAAACCCTCATGAACACTGTCACTGTCACTGTTAATGTTTGCAACTTGCTTTTAATCCACCTAGTTTCTGCATCCGTATAGATTAAAAGCAGCTCCTCTTTCTCTCTCGCTCTCTTTCTCTGTCTCGTTTCCTGGTCATGGGAAAAATGGTGAGTGTTCAGTTGGGCAGAAGGATCTTATTTAAAAGCTGATGTTCGGTGGCGCTCCCCTCTGAGACACGCACAAAGCTTAAAAGGATCACACGATGCTCAAAATGTATTTCTTGTTTGCTTTACTCTCAGGGGACCGTGGAGACAAATGGCAGTGTGATCCAGAGAGCAGCCTCTAAAGCCGGTATCCCATAACGGTAGCTGGGTGTGTTGTTGTTTAGTTTTTATAGAAAGCACATCTCCTCCTATAAATAAACTTCCACTTGCTGTTTTGTTAAATTTTTCATTTCAGTCAAAATGCAACACACAGTTTTATTATCTCTTCACAATCTGTTCAAGTATGAAAATAACAATATTGAAAATAAATAATAATAAATAATGTGAATTACATTGTGATTTTTTTTTGTTGATTGACCACCAAATGTACCACACGAAGAAGTCAGTGTCAGTAATTATCTCTGTCTGACCAAATGCTTTTTTTTGTTTTTTAACTGTGCTGGAATGAAAATGTTGATTATTCCTGCTGACATTAAAGCTGCAGCAGGTAACTTCTATAAAAATAACAGATAATGTGTGAAACAATCAGGTTCCTCTGACTGGTTCTAGTGCTCCTAATCGGATTTATAAGAATCCACCGGACCCCAACAAAAACAACCAATCACAGCAAAGAAAGATATAAAGAGGCTTTATTTTATTTATATTATTTGTCTCTGATTGGTTGTTTTTATTCAGGCCTAAAGGATTCTTGCAAATGTCATTAGAAGCACAAACGAGTCAGAGGAATCTGATTTATTCACCTTTTATCAGACTCAATGGTTCCCAACCTGGGGTTCGGGACCCCCACTAGGGCTTCCAAAGCTTCACGAGCAGTCGAGAGATCTTCTTGATTTTAAGGCATGTAGGAAAAAAATCTATACATCTCTAAATCTCATCATCCTGCAGTAAAAAAAGTACACAGTTATAGCAAACGAAGAGCTAATCGAACAAGCATCACTGAATTTTTCTAAAAATAAGCCTTTTTTAAGTCTGTTTGACTGTTAAAAATAAAATAAAAACATAAAACAGACAGATAATTGTA